TTTTCTATAAAGAACAGATTTAATATTTACAAAACTTTTAACATAGTTCCTGGCACATAATAATCTGCTGAATAAATTACATTGATTGTTATTATACTAGGCTTCAAAATTATAAATGATGTCCAATAAAGCAAAAAAAAAAAAAGAAAGAACACTCAAATTTTCAAAAAAAGATGTTCTATTCTCCATGTACATAATAATCCCGAGATTTTAGGCTTTTAAAAAATGCTTTAGATAACTGGTGGCTGAAACTTCTGAGAGAACTGGACCTATAGCCAGAGTATATGTACAATCTTGGTGGGTCTGAATGAACAAGCAATATATGCTTTGGGAGATACAATAAAACCACACTTTTTTTTCCTCCTCAAAAATTGTTGGCTGAAGAGAATCCAGAATCCTCTGACCCATCTCAGAAACCATGTCTGGCCATCAGACTGCCTGCCTCCAAAATACGTGGGGACATTTTGAATATGGGTTGGGAGAATGTTGCTTTGGAAGATTCTTCTGTAAAATGCAATCCATCTGGAGAAGATTTGGTAGGATCTCTTTAACTTACCAGATATATCCTTCTTTTGTTGTTGCTGCTGCTCCGACATCATAAAAGTACATTCACTCTAAATCTAGTAGGGGAAATTTCTTGTCGATTCATTATAGAACAAGAAGCATCCAGATCAACAGATTGTGTGAAATTTTCCTCGAGTGTCCTGGGAAATTCATGCATTTATTAATTCAGTTTGATCAAGTTGTCCATGATATCATTCCTTACAGACCTAACTAGATAGGGAATAATGTTTTTCCCCAAAAAGAATAATAGCTGTAGTATCATAACTATTATGGATTGAATTGTGTCACCCAAAAAAGACATAAGGAAGCCCTGTGAATGTGACTTTATTTGGAAACAGGATCTTCACCAATCTAAGGAAGATAAGATGAGAGCATGACAGATTATGGTGGGGCCTAATTCAATAACTCCTGAACTTAATGAAAAAGAGGAGTTTGGACTCAGGCACACAGGAAGAAGATGTTTAAGGGAAGATGGAAGCAGAGACTGGGATTATGCTGTTGAAAGCCGAGGAACATCGAGGATTGCTCAGGCAACCAGTAAGGAAGAATAGGTAGAGGCAAGGAAGAATCTTTCCCCAGAGGGCCCAGAGGGAGCATGGACTTGTGGACACCTTGATTGCAGACTTGTAACCTCCAGAACCTTCAGACAAAATTTCTGTTGCTTAAGCCACCCAGTTTGTGGCACTTTGTTATAGCAACCCCAGGAAATAAATATAATAACTGTGACTATTTCAATGTGAAAATATGAAGACCACAAAAGTTAAGCATATTATCTAAATTTCCTAGTTAGTAAGAGGTTCCTCTCACCATAGATATAGTATAAACTATAGGCTACTAAATTTAGGGTCATTTCTCTTCAATAACTGACCATATTTCTGAGATGCAAGCTACTGTATTCTCTGCTTGGCCTTTATATCAAACCACAGACAAAATAGCCTGTAACTTTTTCTATATAAAAATTACACATGATGCTTATATTTATTCTGTTCTTCTCTCCTCTTAATGTAATTTGTGACTAATTACACTTTTTTTCAGTCTCATATAAATTAAAAAGTCTCATAAAACCTTTCCCTATCTTCACATTGAAAATGTCTTTATATACATCAAAGCTTCCACCATAGAAGAGTAGTAAAAATCAAAATTTTCCTTGATTTGTCCAGAAAGTCAGTTTACTATTACTATTTTAATAGCTATTTTCTTATAGAAAATGTCAATTCATTGAAAAATATATGATTATCCAAAAATGAAAGGAATTTACATGTAACCCAGTCACTTGTCACTTGTCATGTGCTTGTCAGAGAAAGCTCACCGCAAGGAAGTACTGAACACAGAAGCCATGTACTCACAAAATGCTTCTGTGCCAACAACTCTCCCTTGTTTCTCAATGTTGGTGGTCTTGGAATGTTCTAGAATACCAACAGAGAATACAGAGACCCAGACTTATTGAAATGAAGTGTAGCCTGGGCCTCTATTTTTACCACTTTTCCTGGTGATACTGATATACATCCAACTCTGCAAAGCACAAGATAGAAGATGATATTGTGCAGGTTTTATTTGGGAGGGTGGTGATATGAATATCTAAGACCTGAGTATAAATGTCATTCAGAAGAGTTGAAAACTGCTATGTGAAGAATTTGAGGACTATCTTAACCAACTTCTCCCACAACTATTCTCTTTTTGTATGCACAGAGTGATAGATGATGAAGTTTAATCTAAATACATTTGAAAGAACTCTTCCAACAAATTGTAATAAAAATTGTAAGGCACAAAAGAACATCGTGTTACAAATTTCATTGGCAACAGTTTTTTTTTCTTTATAGTGGAACATGAAATATTGATATGTCTTATAAGTTATGGTCCCTTCATTTTGTTGGAAACTCTTTTGGCACCTGCTATAAGTACCTTACATAGAGAAGGTATTCAGTGAATGTCTGATAACAGTAACAAGAAATAGAAGCAGCCAAAACATAAAGCCCTGTAAATTGTTCCATTGAAATATATTACCTAAGTAGATGTGTTCCAGAGCTGTCTACCCTACACATATGGTCACGTCTTGGTTCTTTTAAAAATCCTGTGTTGGCTTCCCATTTCTGGAGAGAGAGAGTCTAAAATCCATCACATGCATGTCGAGGTGTTTCATAAGCACTCACACATCTACTAATCTCATCTTGTCTCCTGCCTCAGCCCAAACTTCAGCCACATTTAGCTTCCTGGGGGCTAGCTGTTTCTGCTGTCACATGGGCCACCCAGTTCAGAAATCCCATCCCTGCCTTCTCCAATTAGCGACATCCTCTTTGTCTACTGGACACTGCTAGGTCACAGCCATGAAAATCAGGGACTAGTCATTTTTCCCTGTGTTCCCATTTCTTCCTGAGTATAATGATGCTGAAGAAATCACATTAACATCACCATTTGTTGACGTGTATTTTCACCCACTCAGAATGTGAGGGGTAATTTAGTAATCTGATGCCTGGCACAGTTCAGAGCAGGTAGAACAGATGAAAGAAACGTCTGTTGCATTGGATGAAGTGCCAGCCGTGGGGGTCGATGCAATTCACCTGGGATTTCCCTGCCCACTCATTGGTTCGTTCACAGTTTCCGTGTCTACAGGCCAGGCTCTGTGCTAAGCACCGGAAACTGGGCAAAGAAAAAACAGAAACGATTCCTGCTGTCATGAAGTTGATAGTGTAGCAGGACAGACAGAGCTTCAATAAATAAGCACACAAGTAGATATAACTATACAATGTGTGTGATCTGATTGTAACTGGACCACCTAGGACCTTGTCTCAAAATTCAGTTATGAAAGTTTAAAAGTGACTCTTTCCTTCAAGGGACACTCAATGTCTGAAAGTCCTCCTTAGGCTCTTTTCCCACTCCCCAAGGTGTGTGTGTCTTCCTCATTTTTCTGAAGTGACCCTTCACCACCTCCACCAAAGGCTGGCTTTGCCCCCAGCATCTCTTTGGCATTGTGGTCCACAAAGCTCTCCACCATTTTTCACGAAAGGATTATAGGAGCCAGAACTGTGAGAGAGAATAAGCAATTAGCATTAATTTACATTGGAGGATGGGGACAGCATTAGCCAGGAGGAGGACAGAAGACAGAAGTTCAAAGCCTCCAGTGACTCTTGGCACATATTTGCCTGGTCCAGATTCAGTGGCAGGAACCCTCTGATTTCTGTGGATGGTACCAGTACTGATTTCTTCTTTGATCTATACTTTCCATTTTTTTTTCAGCTTTTAAAATAAATTAATTTACTTATTTTAATTAGGTATATATGACAGCAGAATGCTTTTGGATTCATTGTACACAATTGCAGCACAACTTTTCATTTCTCTGATTGTACACGATGTAGCGTCGCACCATATGTGCAGTCACACATGGACCTAGGGTAATAATGTCCATCGCATTCCACCATCTTTCCTGGCCCCATGCTCCCTCCTCTCTTCTCCCTCTCCTTTGCCCAAGTAAAGTTATACCCTCATTTTAATGGGTACATGAAATTGCATTTCTTTTTGACTCGGGTGTCCATCTGATCTTTACAACTTTATTAGAAAGTCCATTATAGTGGTGCCAGAAACGTAAGAAATGGAAACATAAAATCATACCTGATATCATTTTATGTAATTTGTATAAATAAATCTGTTTAATTGCCATGATGACTGAGGTAAATGTCATCCCCTTTCATAACGAGGAAATTGAGACTCAAAGGGGTTAAGTCGTTTGTGCAAGGTCACACAGCTAAACAACTTACAGAATAGTAGAATCCATATTCATTGTTAGTCTAATAAATGAAAGAAAAAATAAATTCTGAGATTGATATGAAACCAGAATAAGGCTAGGCCTGTTTAAGGCCACACAGTGAAGATAACCACAGTGCTCAAAGGCAAGGACACCGCTGACAAAAGGCAAGGACAATACTTCACTTTCTTGCAAATGAAGGGTATTTCCTCCACCTGTCAAATCAGCCCTGCTCACCCTAGTTCTATTTACACCTGGCCAGGTCGGCAACATCTTAGAATGTAGGTTCAGGGAGCTTCTCTGCAAAACTAGAAAGCAGGCTATCGACGTGACTGAATCCCTGACAAGTCGATCGGCTCCCTAATGGTGGCCCCAAAACAATGTAAGACCATCTTTGGGTCCATGGCTGACATTATCTGGCAGAGGCAGCTTGTTGCCGGTCCATAGCCATTCTCCATTTCTTCCTTAATGACAGATTACTATCTTATCGTGCCCAGGTAAAGGATTGTATGTTTGAGCTTGACTTGTAATTAGGGGTGGGCAATGAGATATCAGAAGTGCTGAATCAAACTTATAGTAAAACTCTGTAAGAGGCCAACGTGGGACTGTAACTCAATAATTAAGTGCTTGCCTACCATATATAGGCCCTGGCCCTCTATTCAAGCCCTAACACAGAGTCCAGGGACAAAGCCACTCACGTGGAAAATGTGCCTTTTGTTCTTCCTTCCTTCTTCCCATCTTCTTGACTGGAGTATGATTGTGATGGCAAAAACAGAAGTAGCCATTCTGGATCAAGAGGATTCCTTGAGGAGAAAAATGGTGTTCTAAAGAGAGGAGCTGGGTCCTAATAACCATGCAGCAAAATTTCTACTAGCTTATCTTTTATTTTTTTTTAAGAGAGAAAAATATATATCTTTTTCTATATAAGCACTCCAGTTTGGGTTTTTTTCTCCTAATTATATAAGAAGACTATTTCTCAGGTGTTAACAACTGATGAGTTTAAAATTTCTCATAGGTTATCTTACTTCAGGGTTTATATTTATGTCATCTAATGTGTGAGAGTAAAATGTATCAAGAGATCACATATCTTAGACGGGACTCGTATTACTTATCTGGTTCGTTAACTCCCTCCTATGTCTTTCTCTCATTAATGCCTCCATATTAAGGTATAGCTTAGGTATCAGCTCTTAGAAGAACTTTTTTTTAAATCCATCCTTATGCCTATAGTAAAGGTAGTTGTGAAATGATTTTTCATGCTGCTTCAAACCCCTAAGGAGTGGTTCCAAATGAATCTTTTTTCCTTTGCTGTAGTAGATGACCAAAAAAAGAACATCCTTCCCTGTTACCAGTTCAAAGTAACTATCCTGTAGTTAGTGTATCAAAGTCTTCCTGTTGAAAGTGTAGGAAATGAATTCTGATTTGGATAGACTTTGGCAAAAGCACTACCATTCTGGATTACAGTTCTTTTTGGGGGGTGTGGGGGGAACCAGGGATTGTACTCAGGCGCGCTTGACCACTGAGCCACATCCCCAGCCCTATTTTGTATTTTAAGAGACAGGTCTCACTGAGTTTCTAAGCACCTTGCCATTGCTGAGGCTGGCTTTGAACTTGCGATCCTCCTGCCTCAGTCTCCAGAGCCACTGGGATAACAGGCGTGCACCACTGAGCCCAGCTCTGGATTATAGTTCTAACTCAATAAAATGGAACTCCCATGCAATATTCTGCAAGGGCACATAATTTATTTTTTTATAGGTGTGCATACTCTCACTGGTAAGACATTAACTGGGCATGTACTATTTCCAGTGTGGTTTTTTTCTGGGTTTTCATTTTTCAACTATTATTTTTGGTTTTTGTTGGTTTTTTTTTTTTTTTTTTTTTTTGGTATTGGACTCCTGGATTCTAAAATGTGTACCATGTTTTATATTACTCAGGCCCTGTTTTAGTCAGCTTTTGCGTCATTGTGACCAAATTATCTGACAAGAACAACTTAGAGGAGGGAAAGCTTATTTGGGGCTCATGGTTTCAAAGTGTTAACCCATTGATGAATGTCTCCATTGCTTTGGGACAAAGTGAGGTCACAACCCCACCTGCATACAGTTACCACCCAGTCAGTCCATTTAAACTAGAATGGAGGGATTAGTTTAAACTCTTAATTAATTGTTTCACCTTTGAATATTCCTGCATTAACGGGAGTTTTGGGGAGACTCTTTATATCCAAATCCTAACAGGCCCCATTTGATTACTTTGATGAATGAATCTCATTGAGCACCTCAGAAAGGTTTCTATAGTGCAAAAGGTGACCCCTCTCATTTTCACTGCTCTGGGATTTGTTCATCTGGCTGCTGAGAGCTTTGTCATTTGCCCTCCTCGGTTACAAAAGCTGCCAGGTTTCACCCTGTGCCTCCTAATTTGTTTCAGTGGTTCAGGTGAAACCAGAAGCATTTGTTTTAAAATGCTTCTTGCCAGGCTTTGTTTGCTGAGACTGATGTGTTTCGTTACTAATTCAACAATGCTGTGACGGCAGAGCCCAGAGCCTGTGCTGGGCTTGAGTATGGTGGCACACTGCCTGGAAGTACCTGGGAGTCACTGTTTCCACAGGACACAATGCTAAGTGGAAAAGGTCACTGGAGATACAACCTGTTCATTTGCTCTGGGGGCCTCCCGAGAACAAAGCCGGGCTCCTCGCAGGAGACAGAAAGCAACCAGCCTCCTCTTCCCCTTGCAAGCTTATCATTATGAACCACAAACAATCATATGCCTTGGGAGCGAGTGCAGTCTTTGCTACATTGCTTGCCAAATCTCTCTCACTGGGGCCTTAAGACAAACTTAACACTGCTTTTCTTTGGCTCGGGAGAGCAAAATGTACTCGCTTTGAGGTTAGCTCTCAGGGGTGGAGGTGGGTGGGTAGGTGGGTTTAATAGGAGGTTAGTTTTTGTGGTTATTGGATAAGCCCAGGTTTTTCTCTACCTGGTTCTGACACAAATAAATGCATATGTTAAGAAAAAGCAATTCTTTAAGCTATGGCAATCATAGTCATTTGCAAACCCAGAGCTTGATAAACCTGAAGTATTTGGAACAACATTGTTATTATTGGCCTGTCAAGAACAGGTTGTCCAGCTGGGTGTGGTGGTACATGCCTGTAATCCTAGGTCCTGGGGAGGCTGAGGGAGGAGGATCACTAGTTAACTTAACTTAGAGAGACCTTGTCTCAAACTAAAATATAAAAAGGACTAGGGATGTAGATCACTGTAAAAGCTCTCCTAAATTCAATCCCCAGTGCAAA